GTGGCTGGAGGGTCTCCCCGGGTCCTTCGCACGCAGCCCGCAGCCGGCAGACATCCTAAAGCGAGACGGCCCAGCCAGCTGGAGCGGCTCTCAACTCTCCTCCGGGTCCGGATTTCGGAGGAGGAAACAGAGCCCGCCTCCCCGGGCCACCTGATTGGACAGTTCGTAAAGCCCCCTCCCCTTCGACGCTGATTGGCTCCTGCCCCACTGCCCGCCTTCTGAACTGAGAGTGACAACAGACGCCAACCAAGCCTTACCAGTGTGAGGGCAACTCAAATGGGAGATTGTAAACCAGATGCTTCTTGACCGGTTTGTCTCTCAGGATGCTGACCTGTCCTACCCTGCATTTAAGCAAAGTTTACTTCTGGCTTAGGGCTGCCTGTGTTTTTTTTTTTTTTGTCAGAGAAGTTTAAAATTTATCTAAAACCATCTCTGTACTGACACACACATACATAAAGTAGCACATTCTAAACAGATAACAGGAAAACTTAATTCCTTTTAAATACAGTTCTTAATTTATTAATGACAGTGGTTCTGCCGCCTGCTTCGCAAGCACAAGGACCCGAGTTCGACCCCCGGTACCAAAAAATAATTTATTAATGGCATGCATAATCAAATTATGCAGACTGAATTCATGGCAAATACTTGTATTCTTAAAATGCTAGTATTTTTTGCTGGTGTGGTGGCGCACGCCTGTAATCCCAACAATCAGGAAGCTGAGGCAGGGGGATTGTCAAGAGTTCAAGGCCAGCCTGAGCTACATATCAAGAACCTGTCCTCCAAAAACCCAAAAAATAAATCATATACTAGTTTTTGTATTCTATAGCCTTAACATTGATACTAGAACAGTGATTCTCACCTGGGAACATTTGATAATATCTGGTTGTCTTTTTTGTTTTTAAGGCAGGGTCCTGCTATGTAACTTAGTCTGTTCTTGAACTCGGTATTTAGCTCAGGCTGGTCTTGAGCTCCCTGTGATCCTGTGTCAGCCCAGTGCTGCGCTTATAGGGATGGCTCACCATGCCTGGCTACTCCAGTCTCCTTACTGGCCTCAGGGGGCTCTTCCTGTGTGTTGCTCTTCCAAATGGGGTCATCTGTCCTCTAAGGCAGTTCCAGCATTAATTCACATGGAGAAATCACTGTGAGACAGCGGTACGAGTCCAGGCAAGGCCAGGACACAATGGAAGAGAGGGAGGCCCTGCTGTTGTGAGAAGTGAGAAACTAGGAATAAGGTCATTGTCTTCATGGACAAAACTTTCTCATACTGTATCTCTTGATTCACTCATTCTAAGCCAAGTAAATGCATGCCAAAGAATAAAGGCCCTTTCTGGTGTTGAGGCAGGCAATCCTAAGCACTTCAGACTGTAAGCTCCTTGTGCCCTGCAGTTGCCTCCTCAAAACTTGAAACTCTGTCTTTCAACACATTAATGTTGCTAGAAGAAAAATATTATCTGGAGTCAGGTGACATGCTTATTGATAGGCCTCCCACCCCCTCAGCAGCTATTATGTATCGTAGCTGCCCTCTTCCTCTCGTGCCTTGCCCCCGCCCCTGTGTGACGTCACGCCAAGATGGCTGCTCCCACCAAAGAACAAACCCTTCTTCCCAGCATGCCCCTGGTCCCGCCTAGAGAGTAACCTAATACTCGCTCCCCTCCTACCACCTAGTGACGTCACGGTCTCCTCCATTCCCTAGTCACCACCTCACTCAACCCCGCCTCAGCCCCTACAAACCCCACCCCAGTCTCGATAAAAGACTCTCCCTGCCCCGGCCATATTGCTCTTGTCTCTCCTTTGTTCGGAGACAGCCCGGTAGATCTATTCCCCTAATAAAGGCTTGTCGCGGCCTGGTCTGGTCTTGGTCTTCGGCCTTTCACCTGACACCTATCATCTCTCTTCACCTCAACATCAGAGTCTGGGCCATTTCCACCCCATTTCTGGCCTCCTCCCAACACCCTCTTATCATCCCTCTCGAGCCAGACAACCACACAAGGCACAGCCATAGAACCCAAGGTCCTGCCTAGCTGTCACATGCAGCAGGACCACAGCCTGCACCAAGACTGCCCACAGCCCACTACCACCAAGACAACTTGGACCTGCACTGCGCGCTGACCCCACCCTCCCTGCTGACACTGCTGCTGCGACCGCCTGGCTCCACAAACGAGCTAGTCCGTGCCCAGCCTGAGCCCCCAGACAAAGGCCATGAGCCTCAGACTGCCTGGGATATACCACCCACAGATGCCGTTCCCCCTTTCCCTCTTCCTCCTCCTTCCATTCTCAGACTCTCACCCCATTGGTGATTATGCCACCCGGGGTGCTAGACATGGGGATCTTGCCTTAAGAGACCCCACGTTAAGTGTGCCCCATTCCACCTGGTGCCTTTATGCCACCTGCTCTGCCCTGGCTCCCACCCCCTCCTGTGTCCTGCGCTGCTCTGCAGCCTCCAAGGGGCTAAACGGACATGGGAGAGGCACCAAGCCAGACTATACACTCTTTGCTGCCTGACTCTGAGCAGCTAAACCTAGCACTCCACCTTCAGGATCCCAGCAGTAACTGATGCATACCTGGCCACCAGCAAAACTCACACCTGTGAGGTCTTGGTCAAGTGGCAGCACCCTGAGAAGTCTCTGCTGGCTCCAAGACCACAGCCACACCTCAAAAGCTGTCAGGCTACAGTAAATTCATTGTTCTCATATAAAACTATATCCATGCCTAACTCCTCCTTATAAAACAATCACAAATAATGTCCCTACTTCCATCAGACTGATCCAAATTCCAGAAGATATATAAATGTGTTGCTTTTGTAATCTGTTTTCAGGATATTCTGTGTAACTTCTCCCCAAAAGAGACCAAATTGTTTTCTTTCCTTCTCACCCTCCTTAAACACCTCCCTTTCCCCTTCCCATGCCCTTTGACCCAGTTATCTCTCCAGTTTCTCTCACAATACCCCTCAGTCACACCCTGCAGCTTCTCCTGACATTCCCTGCTAGACTCCCCAGTTACCCCCTTCCCTGCCTCCTCAGACTTCTCTTACAGGTCCCCATTCAGAATGCTGACCTGGTCACTCCAAGATATATTTCCCAAAATGTTTATCCCATATAGGCTGTCCATGATGCCCATTTGTCATGCCATAAGCATCCATTAGAAGCTCTGCCAACTGTAATCTACTGCTTTTTGTATATAACAACAAAAAGATGGGAATGTCATGCCCGGCCAAAACAAATAGGGACAAAGCAAACAGGCTGTTTTCAGCAAACAATAGTAGATTCTCAGCAAATAAAACAAATGGACTCAAAAGTATACAATCTCCCTGATGCTGAGAAGTCCAATGATTGTCTACAAACCCGAACAGACCATCCTTGGGCATCCAAGTCATAAACATTCCTTATGATTATAGCCCTTCCCCCCAAATCTACATAAGTATAGTTCTTCTTCCATGCTAGCTGCTAATATCTCTCTTCTAGTGCTAGCTCATCCAATCAAGGATGAAATTTCTCTCAGCTAGCTGCTCCTACTTCTCTCTCCCAATGTCGGCCCATCCACACAGGGATGTAATAAACTTGGCTTTTCCCAGCTAGCTACTAGAATTTCCCTGACTTTTGTCCCTGATTTTTAGTCTCTGTGCATTGGAATAAACTTTTCCTCACAACAAAATAGCCTATTTTAAATTTATGGATTCATGTGTGCCATCTACAACAAGAGGAAAATAAATAGGCAAGCCATCTGTAATCAAATTTCTCCACTTCATTAGTTCATGAATGAAGTTGGCAGGAAGCAAAAATAAAGCTCTAGCAGATAAAAGTTTTGACAAATCTATCAAAACAAAATGAGATAGGAGACCAGGGGTGGGCAAACTGAGCAAACAACTGGGTGGATTTTGTCAAAGGTCATAAAAACCTAGAGGACATGTGCAGAACAAAGGACCCAAAATGACGACAAGGCTTCTAAATTATGTACAGAAAACAACCCCAAAATTTGTATTTTGAATCCTGTACTTAAATTGGGCATTGCTTGCACTCCAATAGTTAATTCTGAGCAAAGTGCATGGTCTCACAACATCCAGGAATGAAGTTTCAAATCAAAAGGAGGAAGTTAGGAGAATTTTTGATGGATATAAGAAAAAATAGATTCCTAGTTTCTCCAGGAGGAGAATCTGAAATGTGAAATTTCACCCTGGCCTCTTGCTCTAAAACCTTTTTGGATGAGTAGGACATAGGCATTATTCAGTTGTGTAGTGGCCACAATCACAGGTGGTTCTCTGGATTTAAAATGATGAACCAGAACTCAGACTCTCTGATGCAGTTACTTAGCATGTAGGGTTTAAAGGAAATTTGAACCAGGGATCTTGACCAGGGATCTTCTTTCAATGTTATACTTTATGGAGTAACCTGTCAGATCTTAAAATTGGTGACCTCTCCTGGAGAAGACAGCTCCAGTAGCTCCCTCATCACGAAATCCTGATGCAACATTTCTAGTTAGTAAGAAGCTTTTAGACAATGCTGAAACTGTGCAGTTGGAACAACGGAGATGAGGAAATAACTCCCCTCCACACATTTTAATTTAAACAGCACCCTAGGGTCATTCCTCATTCCACTGCCTTAGAGAGGTAGAAAATAACAAAAATCCAAGTAACCTCTGAAGCTCTAGGTGAGAATACATGCATGTTGGGTTTCCTAGCTTGACCTTTAGTCACCTTTACCTTACCAGATGTCACCAGATGTGTATGCCTTGTGGTTTATCCAGTGGGATGAGGATTTTTTTCTGGTTAAGTCTTTTATTCCCTATTCTTAGACTATCAGACAGCAGGATATCATCTGTTGAAGTGCCTGTTTCTCAGCCAAAAGCTAAGAGCCACATTTATGGGAAAATTATCACAGTTTTGGGGTTCTGTTGAGTAGGAAATTGCTATCCTTCTGTGGACAGGATATTAGGTGGTTTTTAAAAATCTCTAGGAGGCATGCAGACTGTCAGGCATCCTAGTTCTGGGTTCTTTGTCTAGATTCTTTGTAGAAATATTGGAGACTCTCATGTTCAAAAAAGAAGTGACAAAAAAAAAAAAAAAAGGAAGTGACACACACAGGGCTGGAAATACCCAGCACCCAGGGACTTCAGCTCAATAAGGCAATGCTTTGATAAAAGTGGGAAGTGAGGGCCTGGGATTTAGCTCAGTGGTTTTGTCACCTGCTGCGCAAGCACAAGGACTCAAGCACGATACCTGGTACAAAAAAAAAAAAAAAGTGGGAAGTGGTAATAGAGAATCTCCATATGAGGTGAGAATTCATCCAAGGAATGGTTTGATAAGGCTTCTATGCCTTCATCCCAAGGAATTCTGCCTTAACAGGTTACAGTTCTGGGGCTGAAAGGCTCAGAAACTATGAGGAGATGCCCTGTCAGGTTCCCACTAATGGATCAATGACTAAGTCAGGGATAGGCCAGCTAGGTCTCCAACTCCTCCTGTCCACAAAACCCATACTGATTCCACCTGACTAAATGCCTTCTGAACAAGACTCGTTTTGGGTTAGGGACATTCGCCAGTGCAAGATGAACTAGAAGAATCTCAGGACGTTTGCTGATGGGTTCCATACCCTAACAATGGCATTTGGTCTGGCCTGGTGAGATGTACAGTTCACCCTGGTTTCTTGATGTACAGCAGGAGAAAGAAAAATGATTCTGAGGGTTGCAAAGTCGGCTAATGATAAAGCTTTCACAGCTGCACCTTCTGATAATCGGCCAACTGTTATGTTTTTTTCAACCCCCAAACACACAGTTGTTCACTGATGGGAACAGTAAGCTTTGTTGAGACTTTTCTCACAGAGAAATTTTAAGGCTCAATTCACTCTTTGATTACCACTTTCCAAAATACTTCTGGCCCATACATAGCTCTAACCCATGATCCCATTCCAGGATTTGGGTTAGAGACAGGATACTTCTTAGAAGAGCTTCAAACTATTCATAATGTGGGAGTAGTTCAAATGGGCCAAGTTCGGTATGTGGGACCCTGACGGTTCTTGTGATAAGTGTGGTGGAAAACCATTAAGTTCCTATGTGACGTGTTGCACCGAGAATGCCATGTTACCATCTCTATGGCACATAGACTCTTAGTACTTGTCTGGATTCTATAATGTTGTAACCCAGGTCTTAAAGACATGTCTCGTCTGTGCCCCCCAAAATACCCAGACCCATCCTACTCCATTGTCTGAACCAGTACAAAGGTGTGGGTCCTCCCCTGGAGAAGACTGGCACATGGACTTCACCCATATGCCTATGTGTAAAGGGTACACCCACCTCCTGGTACGCATTGACACCTGCATGGAGTGGACAGAAGCCTTGTCCATCAGGTCAGAACAGGCCTTGGAGGTGATGAAAGTCCTCCTTCTAGAAGTGATTCCTAGGTTTGGACTGCCTAGATCTATCCAGAGTGATTAATGGAGCTTCCTTCACATCCCAAGTCACCCAAGGAGATATCAAAGTACTGAGAATTAAGTACCATCACCACACTGTGTGGAGACCCCAACATCACTATCATCAACATTTTCACAACCAATTAAAATAAAAATTGCTGTGGTGACTGTAGTAGAAGACAAATGAAGGCAAGATGCCATGAAAATATAAGAGGGAGTGTGAAACTGACTAGGATCATGGAAGAGGTGGCATTTTACCTGCAATTGTTTGAACTACAGAGTTTACCAGACAGTGATGCACTGGCACTGACAGACTATAGTTTGAAGCCAAGGCATATTGGCATGGAGAGATGGCATTCTTAAACTCTGCATGTAGACTATCAAGGGTCTGAGAGAATTATCACTCTTGCGCCTGTAAAAGCCTAGGTAAAAAGTTTTGCCACCATGTAAGTTTAACCCAGATTGTCAGGGTGACAGAGGGGTACACTTCAATTCTCCTAAGGACTATCTCTACTGCCTTGTTATTTTTTGGAAGAAACAACATACTCCATGTACATTTTCTCATCTCAGCAGAAATGTGAAAAGAGCTTACAAGAATTGCAAATGGTTAGTTAACAAAAATGACTGCCTCTATCAGCTCATCCCTTATTGATGGTTCTGTCACACAAAGGCTACACAGCATAACTGTCAAAGGCTTTGAGTGAAATGGAGATGGGGAGGAGGTTGGACCCTGGAGTCTGCAAATACACCAACTTCTTCTTGTGTATGTAGAACAGAATTAATTATTTGATCATGATGGTGAATGTATATATAATCTCAAAATCATGGCACTGTTAAGTTTTCCCAGCCTTCTCTATCTGTAGGAAAACACAGGTAACATTAAGCTGAAGAAATTAGTTTTGACTGAAGGATAGCACACCTGCCCTTATATCATCAATGTGAGTCTAGTTTGGCGGACATTTAAGATTCCAAAGAGGATTCTACTATCAGCTGATCCCTCAGAGGATTCATGTGACTGACCTTAGAGGAAACTGAGGCTCAGAAAGAGGATGTAATCAAGTACAGCTGCCTTAGTTTAAAGGCATAGTCATTACCACCACCTAGACACCATCTCTGTCTGGGCAGACTTTTGTGGTCTTTTTCCTGTCTGTGTATCAGTCTCCTTAACTGTGGGCAGCAGTATGAACCTGGAGACAGTTTTGTGGATATGGACAGTGACATTTTTGCTATCCCTCAATTTCCACTCATTAAACCTTCAGTATATGAAGATATCAAGGCATTTGTATATAGGACAGGTAACATGTTGCATATTTTGTATCTGTCAGTGAAGTCATTTCCTGTTACTGCATTCTCCAACACTATGACCTTTTCTACAGCAAACATTCACTCTGCAAGCCTCACTAGCCAGGGAGCTTAGAGAACTTTCACAGGAGGCAGAGATGTTTTATTTTTTAATACTTCAATTCAACCAGCAGATGGACATACACCAAGGCATCTCTCAATAGGATTCATAATAACATGAGTACATTGTGGACATAAGATCAAGTCACAAAAAGATTCTCCTTTGCAAAATAAATGGAGAACGAGGGAAAGACCAGATGACAGAAGAATAATTCATGAGTCATGGCACATGGCCCGGAGAGGGACAAAATGGGCAGAAGGGAGAATTACCCAAATGCTTCAGTGAAGAGTACTCAGGAACACAGTAAGGTGCATACAAATCAACTCCAACCCATTTTCTCTCCAGTTATGCTCTCCATGACACTGCCCTTCCTATAATATTCTTCTACAAAGAGTACTTAACATCTATGTAATAATTCTTTTTTTGTTTTGGTACCGGGAATCGAACTCGGGACCTGGCACTTTCAAGGCAGGCGCCAGAACCACTGAGCTAAATCCCCTACCCTAAGAGAACTTACATCTATCAAGGGATTTATAATGATGTCTTCGTAATCAAAGCACATACTGCTTTGCATTCACTTCCTACATGGATGCACATCCACCTATTAAAGGCTCTGCAGAGTTTCTCATTAGACAAACTTTTTCATTATTTCCAGGCTGTATTGGCTCTTTTCACTCACCATGCTATTATTGTTTTCAATGTTTGTGTGATATAGTGAAAAAATATTTAAGTAAATGAAAATAAGTAAGGCATACTAAAAGATTGGATCCCATTGGATTACACTGCTGTGCAATCTACTGAGAATAAAACAATAAATGGACACTGACTACCACTGAGGTTTCAGTCTCCAGTAGTGTGAAAATTCCAGATTAACTGTAGACATCCTGTCCTGTTGATTTAAAAGTGCAAATCTGAGATTTCAAATCAGTAACCCAATGTGAGATTTAGTATGTTCTCTAAAATTACTGTTGCAAACTGATTGTCTAATGATGACAAGTGAACTGAGGGTCCAGTAAAATGTGATGAGCATATGAGTGCTTTTCCTTGAGAATGGCTTATAATTAGCATCAGGATAGCTTTTCCTTGCTTATCTCATACATGCTTACCTGCCCTTCAACAATGTATTTGGTAGAACAGATGACCTCACTACATTTTTGTGCGATGCTCTTGGAATTTCCCACCTGAAAACGCGTAGAGAATATATTTAGATTCTTTTTAGTTACATGGGACACTCTGATACAGGAACAGATAATATATAAAAGCACCTCATATTCTTGATTGGAATAAGAAAGCCGTTATTGCCATTGCAGAAAGTTAAGAAAGCAGCATCTTGGGAGTAGAAATTTGAAAGCATGTTGAACTTGAGTGTACAGAAGCCCTTTAGGGGGGACAACAGATTAAAAATTAAATCTCCAAGGAGGTGTAATAGCCCACTATAGGGATCAAATATCACAATATACACATTTTAGCTTCTCCACAGTAGCCCAAGCTATGAGAACCTGAGACATTTAGAAATTTCTCTAGCTTCAGGTGATTCATCAGTAGAATCAGTCAATCAGAACCATGTTTCCAAAGGTCCTTAAAAAGATTCAAAATATAATGCATGGACAAAGACCTGCATATTTGATGCACACCCTAAGTATTTCTAAGGCATTGAATGCAGACTTGGAAGTCTGACACACTTGCTAAAGAGATAATTCTTGCCTACAGCACACATATTACAATTAGATCTGAAAGACGCAAAAAGGCTACAGATGTGAAACGTGTCCCTTAAAAATCCAAAGGGATGTTTTCATTTTAAAAAAGGAAGAACCCAATGATAACATTACAATACTAAACTGTGAGGTGGCAGGGGAAGGTGGAAAATGACAAATAGAGTTGTATTACTTGGAGACTGTAGAACTCCTTGGTGGGGAAGTTAATGAAGCTGGTCTGATAGAAGTCAGGTATTTGAGCTAAGTGATGAGATGTGACCATTGCTAAAACTCCTGTCCTTTTCAGAAAAGAAGTCGGCAAGTAGGGAAATGAATTGCCGTTGGATACAATAGTGCACTGGCCTGCCTTTGTGAAACTGAAACTTCCCACTGCACCGCAGATTCCAGGCTGATGCTCTGATTACCTTAGAAACTCTTCAACATTCTTTTTCTGTGCTCTGTAACAATTGTTTGCTATGCTTGCAAGAGCTTAATCTTCTCAAGAAGCAGTAGGCACTGAAACCATGAGAAATTATTTTATAAGCCTGGCAAAAATCCCTTCCTGTCATTTACATTTTTTTTTTTTTTGGTACCAGGGATCGAACGCGGGGCCATGCATTTGCAAGGCAGGCGTCGGAACCACTGAGCTAAATCCCCGGTCCTCTGTCATTTACTTTTAATAATTACTTTCAGGATCTCAAAATAAATGGTGATCAAATTTGTTTTCCTTCAGCAATACTTTGTTCTCAATTCAGTTCATGACAACTACAGTTGCATTATTTCTTCTAAACTCTAATTGAAAAAAATTGCTTAAATTTCCATCCTCAAAATACTTCTAAATGTGCATTATGTATCAGCATATAAACTGCGGGAAGACACACAAAGCTTCATGCAATCCACTACATTTCTCAACATACAATATCACTTCATACAATGGTTTCTGTGTTCTGAATGTCATTACCCCAAAATATGTATTTTAAAACCTAATTCCTAAAATGATGGTATAAGGAGGTAGGGATCTCTGGAAATTATTTCTGTCATGAGTCAAGAACCCTCAATAATGACATATATACATATAAAAGAGGCCAAAGGCATCCTGCACACCTCCCTGCCTTGTGAGAATTTGGGTAGAAGTCACCAGTGCTTAGATGATACTGGATTTCCGAGGCTTCAAAACTCGAGAAATAATTATTTCACAAAGAGAACCACCACGTGTTATTTTGATTAGGTCTGCTGGAATGCACTAAGACAGGGTCTATCAATATATTTTGGTGAATGAGATGGCATATCAACAGCCATGGTAGGATCCAGAGAGCAAAAGATTACCTGTTTCCATTTGCTAATGCAACTTCATAGATGCAAATGTCCTGGTGCATGTGTATACCTAGTTACTCTCCCTCATAAAATCACATAATCACTGCCATGAGTAATCAAAGGAACTGCATGCAATGGATTTCTGCTTAGTGTTGATAGCTTTAGTTGGAGCCTATGACAAAGATAAATGTTTACTTGGAATTCAAAACTAAAAAAACCTGCAACCTGAAGGTTGGCTTCCAGAGACCCAAAGTCATCTTTACATATTATTTTCAATATATCTGCTGAGAAATCTTTAGGAACCAGATAAAAGCATGAAACATCTCTACATACTTAAGTATTTAAATATTAAGCTTTTTAATGAGCACATGTTTGAAGTACATGTTCATGTTCATGCTACGGAGTAGGCATCGGTACTTAACATTTTGATTCTTATAATTTCTCTTCCTCTCCTCACCCACCATCTTTCCTCTCTGGCTCCAGATCCCTTTTCCCCATTTCTTCTTCATCATCATCATCAATATTACTATCATTATTTAGTTCATGTTTGTGACATAAAGATCGCATTCACTGTGGGGAGCTGGTATATGACATTAATTTTTTAGGTCCCCTTCTTCCCATCCTTGGCCTCCCAATCCCCTTCCACTTGCCAAAGAGCTGTCTGTGTCCTCGTATCTGTCCAGTAACACAGGGATGGAGAAAATATGGTATCCATACATAATGGAGTATTACTTGACTAAAAAGGATAAATTCAAGACAGTTGTAGAAGAACGGATTCACCTTGAAAACATAATGTTAAGTGAATTAAATTAGACAAACAAGCCTAAGTGTTCTTAAAATGTAGTTTTCTGAACACATATACAACATTCTGTCAAAATGAGATGAAAAGAATTCATGTCAATTATTTCCAAATTATATTCTGAAAAACTTTTAATTTCAAACTAACCAAGTATAAACTTCAGTATAAAACACAGAATACTTTTATTTTAACAATATCTCACAACCTTCAGCCCAAACAATACTGAATACTTTCAGAAGTAGTTTGAATTAAATTAATTTTCAAAATTGAAGAGTTTAGATACATCGTGAAATCATAATCACATTATTTTTGCTAAATTCTAGTCATGGAACAAAAAATAAAATATATATTTAAAGTGTATAGTGCAATATGTTGCTGTTTATATGGTGAAATTATCATATTCTTCCTTGGTAGCATTTGCATTACCTAACAGAATTACCTTTTAGGAATGTGGCAGAAACACTAAAATCAACTTTTAGCAAATTGCGATGCTATGGGGCACCACATCAATCACTTGTAGTCACTATGATCTATGCCATTTTGTACTCTACAAGAGAAACACTGTGTTCTCATTAACATCTCTCAACTTTCTGAACCACACGTGGCAACCATCACTAAACTCTCTGCTTCTTTAAAGTTGTCAATTTTAGATGCTAAAAACCAATATGATCAACCTCTAGTTTGTCTATGCATGGCATATTTCATGTAATGACCTCTTGTTTAACCTACTTTGTCACAAAGGATTTCCTTTAAGACTCAATAAAACTTTATTGTATGAATAAACTTCACTTTACTCAAACTAAGGCGATCGGTTGCATGTCAAATGTCCCTTAAAGGCCATGTACTGAAGATTTAAACGTAAAGTGCTTTGTTATTCCAACCTCATCACTGCACTGATCCATAGATATATTAGAGGAAGACTGTCTCTGGATGTGTGCTTAGAAACTTGGGATCTAATTCCTAAATCACCTCTCTGTCTCTGTCAATCTGATCCTTAGCTTTTTCACATTGTTTTTATTCTAAATCTCATTTTGAGTTTGTGCATGTTTTTTGATGTTATGAGAACCATAAAAAATTTTCACACACCATAAACGCTTTCTCTTCAGTGGGACTTCTTTCAGGGTTTTCAGCGTAAGTGGAAAAATGGAAGGATTTTCCATATTTATTGCATACATGTGGCTTCCTTCTCATGAATAGTTTTGGTACCGGAGATTGAACTCAGGACCTTGTGCTTGCAAGGCAGGTGACAGAAACACTGAGCTAAATACCTGGCCTCCTTCTCATGAATTCTTTCATGAACTTGAGAGCACTGAGGAAAATAAGACATTTCACATATATTCAGATTAGCTGGTCTACAAATTCTGATGTAATAAGACCTGTGTACTGAAAGATTTTTTTTATATACAAAGGTTCTTTTTACTCAAAGGGCTTCTCTGCACTGTCCTGTCATGTCAGAAAAAGTCACTTTATATATTCAAAGGTAATTTCCTCTTTGAAGATTTTAATATCTATGATGATTACTAGAGTAACTGAATGCTTTTCCACATTGCTGACATATGTAGGGTTTCTAGACTGATTCCTTTCATGCCTTTGACAATTCCTGGGTTGAAAGCTTTCCCATATTACTTACACACATACACTTTATCCTTTGTGTGAGTCCTTTCATGTATTTTATATTCACTGTGCCTGCTAAAAGCTTTCCCACATTGGTTACATACATAGGGTTTCTCCCCAGTGTAAGTCCTTTGATGTGTCTCACAGGCACTGGAACTGCTGAAAGCTCTTTCACATTCCTTACATACTTAGGAATTTTCCACAGTGTGAGCTGTTTCATGTCTTTTACATAAGCTGTGGGTCCTGAAAGCTTTGCCACACTGTTTACACACATAGGGTTTCTTTCCAGTGTGAGTTTGCTCATGTATTTGGCAATTACTGTGTGTAGTGAAAGCTTTCCCACATTGCTTACATACATAGGGTTTCTCCCCAGAGTGAGTCCTTACATGTATTTTTCGTTCACTGTGCCTACTGAAAGCTTTTCCACACTGGTTACATACATACGGTTTCTCCCCAGTATGAGTTCTTTCATGGATTTCACAGTCACTGCGTCTGCTAAAAGCTTTGCCACAGTGGTTACATATGTAGGGTTTCTCCCCAGTGTGGATCCTTTCATGTATTTGACAAGAACTGTGTGTGGTGAAAGCTTTCCCACACTGCTTACATACATAGGGTTTTTCTCCAGTATGAGTCCTTTCATGTATTTTATAATGACTCTGTGTCATGAAAGCTTTCCCACATTGCTTACATACATAGGGTTTCTCTCCAGTGTGAGTCCTTACATGTATTTCACAGTCATTGCGCCTGCTGAAAGCTTTCCCACAGTGGTTACATAAGTAAGGTTTCTCCCCAGTGTGGATCCTTTCATGTATTTGACAAGAACTGCGAGTGGTAAAAGCTTTCCCACACTGCTTACATACATAGGGTTTCTCTCCGGTGTGAATCCTTTCATGTGTTTTATAATGACTCTGTGTCATGAAAGCTTTCCCACATTGCTTACATACATAGGGTTTCTCTCCAGTGTGAGTCTTTTCATGTGTTTTACAACGGTTCTGTGTCATGAAAGCTTTGCCACACTGCTGACATACATAGGGTTTCTCCCCAGTGTGACACCTTTCATGTATTTTACATTCACTGTGCCTGATAAAAGCTTTCCCACATTGCTGACATACATAGGGTTTCTCCCCAGTGTGAGTCCTTTCATGTGTCTTATATTCACTGTTCCTGCTGAAAGCTTTTCCACACTGGCTGCATACATAAGGTTTCTCCCCAGTGTGGATCCTTTCATGTATTTGACAAGAGCTGTGTGTGGTAAAAGCTTTCCCACATTGTTTACACACATACGGTTTCTCCCCTGTGTGAGTTTGTTTATGCATTTGACAATTACCGTGTGTGCTGAATGCTTTCCCACACTGCTTACATACATAGGGTTTCTCCCCAGTGTGAGTCCTTTCATGTATTTTACATTCACTCTGTCTGCTGAAAGGTTTCCCACATTGGTTACATACATAGGGTTTCACTCCAGTGTGAGTCCTTTCATGAATTTCACAGTCACTGCGCCTGGTGAAAGCTTTTCCACATTGCTGACATACATAGGGTTTCTCCCCAGTGTGGATCCTTCCATGTGTTTTACAATTACTCTGCGTTATGAAAGCTTTCCCACACTGATTACATACATACGGTTTCTCCCCAGTGTGAGTCCTTTCATGTGTTTTACAATGACTCTGTGTCATGAAGGCTTTCCCACATTGTTTACATTCATAGGGTTTTTCCCCAGTGTGAGTTCTTTCATGTATTTCACAGTCACTGTGTCTGCTGAAAGCTTTTCCACATTGCTTACATATATAGGGTTTCTCCCCAGTGTGGATCCTTTCATGTATTTTATACTGAGTGTGTTTGGTGAAAGCTTTCCCACATTCCTTACATATGTAGTGTTTCTCCCCAGTCTGAGTTTGTTCATGCATTTGACAATTCTGTTTGCTGAAAGCATTTCCACATTGCTTATATTTGTAGGGTTTTCCCACAAAGTGAGTTCTTTCATGATTACCAAATAAAGTGTTATTATTAAAGGATTTCCAACTGTGTTTCCATACATAGAATTTTGTTCCAATATGAGCACTTTCATGTTTCTGAATATCATGGTGAGAATTTAAAACTTTTCCACTTTGTATACATATATAGGTATTCACCCTACTGTGATTTCTTTCCTGGAGTTGAACATAGATGGGTGTACTGAAGGCTCTCACATCTTGCTTACATTCAAAGGATTTCTCCTCAGCATTAGTTTCAACAGTGCGATCAGAGTAGGATTTTATACATTGCTTATATCCACAGGGTTTTTCTTCAGGAGGTACCTTTACATGTTTCTCAAAAGACTGAAAGTCAGTAGAGGTTTTCTCATGTCTGTTACAATTAGATGGCTTCTGTTCAAATCCATGAAGCTCATATGGCTTGAATCCAGTGTGATCTATGATGGTCATGGTTAATGATGAATGACCAATGGGAGGCTTTCCACATGGAAGGCTTTCACCTGGTTTTGTACCAAGGCATTTCATGTGCACATTTGTATCAGGAGTCATAAAAACTGTTTCCTCATGTTGATACCATAATTTATACTGACAGTATTTATCTACCTCTGCACTTCTGTCAAAGGAAAAAAATAAGAAAATAACCAGTCACATTTAAAAGCATCTTTACATTACTGGTTTACCAGGTGATCTGATTTGATGCCGTCTAAGCATATTTGATCATGAATTTACTGTACACTTGGGATGATGGCTTGGAAATAGCTTTTACCAAAACAGTAGTCATTTGGGAGTTTGGAATACAATATATACTGGTTACTTTCATTTTGAACAATTGGTGTATATATTATACCAAATGTTGATTATTTTTCATATACGTTACCTCCATAACTCTACTCCTCCCTCTTCCACTGAGCCTCTTCACCCTTTCCAAAATGTCTGCCTCTCTTTTGTACCATGTCTCCTTTATTTTAGTTAATTTATATTTTGTATTTCTCTTACAAAATACAACACATCATAGTGAACTTTCTGTGTTTATCTTATTTAACATAACAGGGGTTCCAGATCCATCCATTTTTTGGCAAATGACATCAGTACATTCTCCTTTATGGCTCAATATCATTCCATTATATGTACATACCATATTCATTTCAGTGCTGCAGACTGAAATTTTCACTGCTACAAACATGGATATGCATGTAGCAGTATAATATGATCACTTTAACCTCAGGGGAATACACCCAGTAGAAGAATAGCTGGATTAAAAGGAATTTCTATTTTTACTTTTCTGAAGAACCTCTATACACATTTCCGTAGAAGTTATGCTCCAATGACATCCCCACCAACATTATGGGAAGGTACATTCTAATACTGTATTTCAGAATGTAAATAGATTAAATGCTTTTCAAGATTGCTTGAAAACAGCTATTATCAAAACAGGAGTCATTTAGATTGTGAATAGTTTTTCAAGGTTACCAATACTGCAAATATTGAATATGTCTACAAACTTTAAATACATATACATTACTTAATTTGTTGGATAAGAAAGCAGTCTTTTGAAAATATATGTATATGGAATTAGGTATCCTGTACTTGGCTCTCAACTAAACACAAAGATTTTTTTATATATACCTATAATCAATGCCTAAATACAATTTCGTACCAGTTTCATAAGATGCTAGATACTAATCATATAGGCATCTTTGGAGAATTTTGAACAATTAAAGAAATTTGAGCATGGGCTCATTTTGTTTATTTTGATTTTTAAGACAAGGTCTTTCTACATAGTTGTGGCCACCTGCAAACTATGTAGCACAGGCTGGCCTTGAACTCCTGGCAATCCTCCTGCCTTAGTCACCCAAATTACTGCAATTATATATACATCACCATGCCTGGCTCCCTATTTCTTTTTGAACATGGCCTCATTTGTGAAGTTTGCCTGCTTTTAATATATCTGACCTCTGAAGAACACTCTTGGGAATGTCAATTACCTTAGAGTTTTCCTGTAATTGCTAAACTTATCTTCAATTTGCTGGTCATCCCAGTTTCTTCCTAAAGTACAGAAAAAGAAATGTTATGATTGAACTACATTACATAGAAATTATTAGCTTCCAGGTAGATTCACAGTATAATGTGACCAGACCCAGAAGATTTATGAAAATATTTCCATGCTTCAATAAAGTACACTGCACTAATGAGCAATAACCAATGCTCGCTGATCGCATAAATGAGAAGTGGTATCTTCCTTACCTAAAGCAGTCACATTCCTAAAGTTTTCCCACATCACATCTCGGTAGAGCTTCTTCTGGGATGGATCCAACAAAGCCCACTCCTCCACGGAGAAGTTCACAGCCACATCCTCAAAGGTCACTGCCTTCTACATCATCAGAAATATATATCCAGGAAGAAGAGTGAGACTCACAACACAAAATATCTCAAATCTGCTCGTGAGAAGCTGGCACAAGGCTGAGTCCCAGAAATGGTTACTTCATGCCTTGTTCATCCAACACTTATTCTTTATCCTCAGGCACTTGTCACACAGGACTTTTGAAGCTAGATGGAAATTCACTGCTAAAAAAGCAGCAGAACATGATCGTTCTCCTGCTGATTAACCCCAGTTTTATTTCTACACTGTCTATAAAGCATGGCTTATGGAGATAGCCTACTAGATCAGACGTGGAGTAAAAAGAACTGGGGTAGATGAATATCTAATGACTTGCTCTGACAGAACATAGAAACTACATCTATTTTCAGATTATTATTTAGGAAATAGATCCCTTTTTCCTCTTATTGTATTTAGACAGCATTGTAAACTTGAAACTGGTTTCATGGACAAAACTATAATTAAATACGAAGTAAAAATCATAAATGGTAATTTAAAATGCTAATTAAAAGTATTACAGTATTCATTGGCAAATGTCTAACAAGGAAATTAGATTAAGGTAAACAAACATATTATCTTACAGCCAACTGACCTGAAATACTTATCTGTCACCAAGATATAAAAATTTCTAAGGGAAAGGAAATGTGTGGATGGGCCAAACAACTGAAAGCCATGCCCCTAGGCACAGGCCAGGGATATGCACTCAGCCCAGGGAGGGGGATGGAACTGAATGTTCCCTCACAGCCACACACCGTGCCCCATATGGCCCCAAGGAGAGAGCCAGGACAGACCAGTCAGTCTGAAATGGACAGATGGTAAATTTTGCAGAAGTACTCAGAGAAACAAAAAAGAGAAAAGAACATCCAGCAGCTACTAGACAACATTAAAGATACCAACTTAAGGTTAACTGGAGTTAGAGAAAAGCTAGAAGACAAGACAGATGGAATTAGTCATATGTTTATAGATATCATAGTAGAAAAATTCCCAAAGATGAGAAAAGAGTTAAAAATATAAGTAAGCCAGGCTTAAAGAACACCAAAAAACTATGATGAAAAAACAAGATCATCAAGGCTTATTACCAAGGCTTATAATAATCCTTTTTACATTGCCAGATAGCCAAAACCCACAACAACAAAAATTTAAAGCAGAGAAAAACCAAAAAAAACACCTATAAATGTAAACAAATTAGAATTACAACAGATAGAAACTTTAAAGCCCAGAGGAGCTTGGAGAGCTTGGAGTGATGTATTTCAAATCCTAAGAATGAACCGCTTCCAACCTAGTTTAACTTACCCAGTAAAACTTCCTTTCAAAATAGGTGGAGAAATAAGGACATCTCATGAAAAAGACAAGCTCAAGAGAAATATGAATAACTCCAAAAAATACTCAAGAATATCCTAGACAGAAACACTGGAGCCAATACAGATATTCCTCATTTAACAACCTACCTGTTTTAATGTCTGTTTGAATTTACAACTGAGGCATGGTGTTTCTGACTTATGACCTGCCACTCAACCTTAATGGCCCATTAGTTTTGTATAGTTCTGCACATACTGATAGAGCATCAATATCTTTCTGTACAGTGCACCTTGTTTATACAGTACTCTTACTTTTGCTGATTGTACTTGTACAGTACAGTACTATAGTTTTATTTTGATTTTTTTTTTGGTACAGGGGATTGAACTTGGGACCTTGTGCTTGCGAGGCAGGTGACGGCAGAACTGAGCTAAAACCCCGGCCCACAGTACTACAGTTTTATGTTGTTACATATTACAGTACTGCATGTAAAAGTTACACAAATAAGGGCCGGGGATTTAGCTCAGTGGCAACGTGCCTGCCTTGCAAGCAAAAGGTCCTGAGTTCCATCCCCGTTACTGCCAAAAAAAAAAAAGTTACTCAAATAAAAGCAAAGTCACCAAATTGGAGTTTCCTTTGACCATTTATTGTCCTGAATACTGCAAAGTGCATACTGTATATAATTCCTCATTTAGCACCTCATTCATTTAACAACCTAATCACAGGAGCAAGACTCAGTCATTACATGAGGAATGCATGTAGCCTACTGTATTTAGGCACATTCACTAAGCATGTTGTGCAAATAAGCACAGCATTCATGAAAGACAAATGTCTTCAAACTACATGTTATTTCTATGATGTCTAATGCTGCCTGCAGACAAATAAGCTTCTCTATATATTTTGGATATTGAGGCAAAAAAGCAACCTTGAAAAATACATGGTTTCCCTGTTCTGATGCAGAAGGGAGTGACCTGGAGCGTGGTTTGATGAGACCCATGGATCACATATGACACAGGCAGAACAGCTGTGACAAAGGGCCAGAAAAACTTACCAGCGCACTCCTCTTTCTATCGGGCTCACTTCTAAGGACTATCTGCTTTCAACAGTTCCTCGCGGGATAACAATGCTGATTCACGTGGAGTTAAATAAATTCTGAGATATAAACAACTTCTTTAGAAGTGACGTTAATGTTGAATCTTTTTAGTTTGTAGAAATGTATCACATGGGTGCACATACATATTTTCTCAATGGTTATATATACACTTCCAAACCACAGGAAACAATTAAAAATTAATTAGCATTGCTATTCTTGGCTCTGTGATGGCTTCATCTGTTTAATTTTTGTCTTACTCCCTGGCTGGTAAGCTCCTTCATACATACTTTATATGCCTTTCTATCCTCCGTGGTGTTTACTGCAGAGGAGGACACAGCAGTGGCTCCATTAATGCCAGTTTCACTGTCAAGCATATTTGCCATTTCCAGTGTGTTTTACAGAGTCAGGGTTCATGATTCTGTGATACCTTGTTAGTAATATTTTAGTTTGATTGCTTCCTGGCAATGACCTGCACAAGCTCCTTTATTAATGAGCCAAAATTAAATTTTACAATACAGCTTCTAGCAAGATGAACTGTGTGAAGAATTCATGGAAACTGCCAAGATGCCAGGAGAGAACATTTGAAGAAATGTAGAATTAGATGTTTTAATGATTTGCTAATGATATTATCTGGATAGCATCTGTTTTACAATCATGATTATTGATGACTACTTTCTATACCATTGTTAGATCGTAAGATAAGTTTTCTCAATAATTTGTATCCCTGCTTTTTTCTGACATGTGCAGGATCAATATTACCTGAACCCAGCCAATGTGATGATTTGTTGCTGGCTGCTGTACTGCATTTTAAAGGTTATTGGAGAGTGTGTGTTCTTAAGAACAAATAATTTGGGCCGGGGATTTAGCTCAGTGGTTTCGCTGCCTGCTGTGCAAGTGCAAGGACCCGAGTTTGATCCCCGGTACAAAAAAAAACAAACCCAAATAATTTTTAGCTAACTAATTTGACAATATATCTAATACATATATCATTCATGTAACAAGCTACCTGTTTAATGACTCTTCAGACTAATGACAGGCACACAGTTAAGACTTACGTCCCACCGGTCAGACTTAGGTATGACCTGTTTTTTTCTTTTTGTACAGTTCTGTACATCTTGTTGGTGGAGCCTCAATGTCTTTATTTTGTACAGTACACATTCTTTTATAAAGCACTGTAATTTTTCTGATTTTCCCTACAGTACAGTACTGTAGTTTATGTTCTGTTATACATTTGAGTACTCCATGTAAGAGTTATGCAAATAAAATCAAAGTCAAGTTCAAGTTTCTTCTGACCATTTCTCTGTTTTGAATATTGTAATGTACATACTCTGTAGAATTCCTCATTTAGTGACCAATTTATTTAGTGAACTGCTCACAGGACCAGAACTTGGTCATTGAATGACCAGCGTCTGTATGGCTAAACACCCAGATGAAATGAAAACACAAGCAAGGTGAATTGGTAAACAACAACATTAATGGCAGGAAAAGAAAAACAAAGACGTCACCAACAGAGAAAGAATGCAATTATAGTGATTAATCAACACATCTCAATATTTCTCAACATTAATGGCCTCAGCTCTCCAATTCAAAGACACAGATTGGCAGACTGCATTAAAAAAACATATCCTTGGGGCCGGGGATGTAGCTCAGTGGTTATGCTGCCTGTCTCGCAAGTGCAAGGACCTGAGTTCGATCCCCGGTACCAAAAAAAAAAAAAAAATTCTAGCAGTATGTTGCATTCAAAAATCTCATTTAATGCAAACAATATGTATAGGCTAAAAATTAAAGAATGTAAAACAGTATTTCAGGCAACATTCTCCAAAACAAGCAGGGGTAGCAATTTTAATCTCAGACAATGTGAACTTCCAGGTAAAGTTAATTAGAAGAGACAAAAGATCACTACACACTACTTAAGGGAACAATACAACAAGAATGATAATGTTTAGAAATATTTATGCGTTGAGTACTGCAGCACCTAAAAGATCAAATAAATACACAATCATGAAGAAATATCAGAGATGAATGACACCCTTGGACATAAGGACTTACCGTGTACCCACCCAATAAAGCAGAGCAGACATTCTTTTCTGCAGCACATGATAACATTTTCCAAAATCGATCATACACTAGTCCACAAAGCCTGCTCAGATAAATAAAAGAGTAAAAAATCACCCCATGTGTACTATCAGACAACTGTGGAATGAAAATAGAAATCAAGGACACAAGAAATTACAGAAATGGTAGAAGAACCTGGAAAATTAATCACACACTGCTAAACAACCAATGAGTCATACAAGAAATCAAGGTAGAAATGTAAACATTCCTAGAAGTTAATGGCAAAGGGTGTACAAGGCATTGTAAACACTGGGGCACTGTGAAACAATCCTGAGAGGATTGTACTGTAATCACCACTCACATTATGAAAACAGAACAACTTCAAGTACATAACCTTATGAGAAATCTTAAGATTCTTGAGAAACAACAATCCAATTTTCCCTCATTGGATGGCAACATCCATTCAGCACCAGGCCCACTGCCTCCACTCTAGGTGCATCAGCATCTCCACCCTACATTATGCCAGTGTTATGGGCACAGTTTTTGCCTA